ATTATCGGATTCGGATATATCTGTTTAAATAATATCTGCGTCAAATCCGGATATAGTTATCCGGATCGCTACTCTACTCCGCTACGCCCCGGACAATAATACGTTGCGTATTATATAATAATAATATTTAGTTATATAAAGTAGACAACCCGGTTTCTTCTTCGTAATATTACATTTTTGGCAAAGCACTGTTCAATCACATTTATATGACATTTTTATTTTTAGTAATTATTTTCATACAGTAATTCCTATGTCGACGAACAACGATGATAACAAGCGGGAGGAAATAAAAGTAGTAGATTTACTAAATAGTCATGATTGGTCTTCGACTTGTCTCGGCCCTAAAGATTCGTGGGAGCCTACATTTAAAAACATTGTGTTACTTTATAATTTTTAAGTCTTAATACAGTCAAAACCTCTCTAAGTGCACCCTCTATAAGTGCACACCTAGGAATGGGAACGGCAACGGCTATAGCCGGTTATAGCCTGGTATTAGCCGTAGCCGATATTAGCCGGCTAAAATTGTAGCCAATGCCAGATTTTTAATGTCCTGGCCAATTATAATAATATTTAATGCTTAATTCGACGAGATAAAATTTACCACCCAAATTTTTTTAAGATCACATATCCAAAGCGAAGCGAAGAGGAGATGCTAATTTCATTTTTTTTGCGTTGTTATTACTTCATACATATTTCGAATAAATGGCAAATTGACATTTTAAAAAAAAATAAAAATAAATACCCTAACTTTCACAGCTCATAACTCAATGAATTTTGATGTTATATTGATGATTTAATATTCAAAAGAAAGCTTAGATCGTAAGTTAAGCTTTTTTTTTAACTATTAATCGTTAAGATAGCTTCAAAATCCATCGAGATATGGGCTGTGAAATTTAGGATATTAATTTTTTTAAAAATGTCAATTTGCCTTATTTCTATTGACGGTAGTTGTCAAGTAGCTTCCTAAACTACCGCGTATTGGTGGGTCTTTACTTTCTATCCTCACTCGCTTGGCTATTATCTTTGATGACCGTGTATCGTGCAGGTCCTTCCATCGATTATGTATACACACACACAGGTAATGGTTTATTCACTAAGAACGAAACTTATTACTCACAAAGCTTGAAACCAAAGAAGTTTAAAAAGCTAGGTACTTTCCCTTTCGGGATCGATACCTTATATATTATTACTAATCGCTATTCAGCGTCACTGATTATTACATATTA